CAACCTGAATTCAAAAAAAACTTCTAAGTTGTCAATTTTCTTGAGATTATTAGACATGTGAATATAGGGAACTTTAAATATCAGAAATCATAATTATTTATCAAGATGAAGGAAACCTGGTACTGAACTTAGGGTTTTGAGGATGGAGGATAAAGGCACTCAATTAACAAAAGTACCACCTTAATAAAGTGAATGTTAAAATACTATATGTTCTCCTAAATTGATCTACAGATTCAACACAATCCCTATCAAAGTACTAACAGGCTTCTTTGCAGAAACTGACAAACGTATCCTAAAAGTCATGTGAAAATTCAAAGGACCCAGAAGAGCCAAACAATCTTCAAAAAGAAAAAAGTTGGAGAACTTACATTTTCTAATCCCAAAACTTACTACGAAACTATAGTAATCAAAATAGTGCTGTACTGTCATATGATAGACCTATAGATTAATGGAATAGTATTGAGATTACAGAAATAAATTCTCACATTTATGATCAATTGATTTTCAATGAGATTCCCAAGATCATTCAATGGAGAAAGAAAGTCTTTTCAACAAGTAATGAAAAATTACCATATTACCCAGAAATTCCATTCTTCGTTACATACCCAAAAGAAATGGAAACAAAACTTGTACACAAATATTCATAGTAGCATTTTTCAAAATATCCAAAAAGTAGAAACAGCCCAGATGTCCATCAACTGATGAGTGCAAAAACAAAATATGCTATATCGATAAAATCGAATTCTATTTGGCCATAAAAAGGAATGAAGTACGGATACATGCCACAACATGGATGAAACCTGAAACTATAATGCTAAGTAAAAGAAGCTAGTCACAAAAGACTATGTATTGCATGATTCCATTTATATGAAATGGAATGAAAATATACTAGAGGAAAACTCATAAGGACAAAAAGTAGATTAGGGCTAAGAGAGAGGCTTGGGGGAAAAAGGGAGGGGGTGGTGACTGCTAAAGGGAATGGGGTTTCTTTTGGAGATGAAATCAATTTTTGATAATGCTCTAAAATTGATTTCTGGTGATGGTTACACAACTGTATATATACTAAAACCCATCACATTTTACAATTTAAATGGGTGAATTGTATGGTATATGAATTACATTTTAATAAAGCTGTTTCAAAAAAACTAACAATACTATACATTGATAAGTAGAACCTGATCCCCAGATAAAAAGGGCTTTCTAAATGGGAGTATGCAGGTAGGTATTTTTCTTCTTTGAGGTTTTGAATTTAAGTTTTAGAAAACAAGTGATACAAAAGAAATAGAGGCACACCAGTTATTCATATAACTGAATAATAATAAAAGAGAAAATAATAATACCAACATTAACATAAAGCTTTATAGAATACAAAGCACTTGCACATACGGTCCTGCAGCCAAAAAATGACAAGCCAGAATGAGTCACTTGTCCCTCCCCTGAGTTTAAACACAGAGATAAAATATAAGATATCAGAAGGTTGATGACTCTCGGGACACACTCAGAGGTTAATACAAAGTCTTGAAGAAACACTAGGAAAGACTGAAAGTGATTAGGACTCTTGTAGGGAGTAAATGGTGACCTGTATTAGAAGAGGACTGGAGTCCACATTGTCCTGGGTGGACTGATGCCTACCCTGCCTGCTGTGGGGCAGAAAAGCATCAGAACCAGACCAGTGCCAGCCCAAGGCTGCAAACTAATGACAGAGGAGTTCTAGAGCTCTGCTAGGGTGAGGGATCCTACAGCCACACTAGCAGGAGGCTGGACAACTCCTAAGCATTCACTTCTCCCCAGTTCAACCGCTGACCTGGCAATTATACCAGAGGGAGGCTACCATCTGATAATAATGCTTGGGAAAGAAGTACTAGATAGAAAGTTCTCTGCAGTGAAAGGGACACCCGTGGCAAATGAGCGGTAGTGCTTGAGCCCAGATTATTCATTACGAGCAGCTTCCTCACCTCCAGCCTCTAAATGACCTATAAGAGCACAATCTAGAGTCAAGGATATTATGCCTATTTTTAAGTAGATCTTAATGACAAAATACATGTTAACTGAATAACGTAAGAGTGCAAAAAAGACTGTAAGCACCATGAAAGAAATACAAAAATGAAACAGTCTATACTAAAGGATGGCAAATATGAAACTATTTAAATTAAATATAATAAATGGTTTCATTTCAGAAAAGTAAGGGAGGGTATTAGAAATATGAACCATAAACAAGCAGTTATGAAGAAAAATCACTTGCAAGTATTAACAACAAAATATGTAATTGTTGAAATGAAGTCAATGAATGGGTTAAACAGCAGAAAAGATACAATCTAAGAAAAAAATTGTATACTGGAATAGCAGGTTGAGGAGTGTTCCCAGAGGCATCAGGAAGAGACTAAAAAAGTGGAAATAATAAGAGAAAAGCTATGAAATATAGATGGTACAAGAAGTATCAAGAGTATCTAATAGGAATTCCAGAAGGAGAGAGAATAGAGTAATAAATATTTAGAGAAATAGTAAAAAAGATTAGCCAGAACTGTACAAAGTTACAGGTTTAAAGGGTACACAGAGTGCCAAATAGGATCATATTTACATATCAGAGAGAAATTTAAGAACACTGAGAAACAAGAGAAAATTTTGAAAGATTCCAAAAAGAAAATGGAGCTCATTAGTAAAGGACAAAGAATCAAACTGACACCAGACTTGAGACAATGAAGTAATATCTTTAAAGTTTTGAAGACGACTTTGAAACAAAAATTTATATCTAATTAAACTATTATTTACATGGGAGGACAAAATCAATATATTGGTATATAGGTATTTAAGGTCTCAAATACATAAAGTTTCTCTTTGAAGAAACTATTTGGAGGATTTACTTTAGTGACAAGTGAAAGAAATGCATGAGCAAGCAACTAGACACAAAAAGTAAAGGAGAGTAAAGGTGGTTCATCGTTATTTAAATATGCTGTGATGCAGAAAAAGCGCACCTATAATATCTGGGTCAAAAACTCCAGGCAGTATTAACACAGGGTGGGAGAAACAGAGAGAGCTGAAAGCATGCTAAAGTAATAACTGTGTTTCAGATGGGCAGGGCAGGAATTTGTATTGATAAGCTTTAGACACCAATAGGGAAAAATAGTCATTTCTATGCATCTTGGTAAGTAAGGGATAACTACCAGAAACATAGGAATAGAGTATTTAATACTCAGTTTAGTAGAAGAAAATCAATTTATCCAAAAGAAGCTGTGAAAAAGAACCAAAAAGAAGCAAGGCCAGTAACAACAACGACAACCAACCAACACACACACACACCCGAGTAGCTAAAATGAGCCTTGGTAGACCAGTAATTATTGTCAATGTAAACAGATTAAATGTACCAATCAAAAGACAGAAACACAGAGTGACCGGGAAAATAAAAAGCTAACAGTCTTTTCTACAAGGGATAGGTGTAAAACAAAAGGGTACAGAGAAGTTGGGAATAAAGGAATAAAAGAAGGACTACCAGGCAAATATGGGGGAAAAGAAAGTAGGGGCAGAACTTTTCAAACTCTACAAAATAAATTTAAGGTTAAAAAAAACACCTGAGAATACTTTCTTGAACACTATTAAGCAGCAACTGACCAGCTATGATGACACATAGTTAATACATTTGTTCCTTAAGTTTACGAGTTTTCTAGTTCTTTGATTATTCCTTTTCTACCTTGGCCTGCCTATGTATCGTTTACATTCGTTTGTCTCTTTTCAGTTGAGTTTTAGCAGCATTTGAGAATGTTTTAAACAAGTGAGGAGAAAAAGGAAGTTAGATTCAAACAGTTCAGGTTTTCTATTTGTTAAAGGTTCCGTACTAAAGTTATTTGAAACTAAGGGTCAAAATGAAATCAAAGCACTTACTGGAAACTTAGAAATTAGAGCACTTCTCCCTAAGTAATGGAAGATAAACCCATAAATTTTCTAATGTTCTAAGCTTCCATGGCAACCTGTGATCTAGAGTGCTAAAAAATCAAGTACACAAAAGCTATTAATAAAAAAATTTCACAGAGAAATGCCCTCTAAAATCTGGTCCTTTGTATAGCATCCATGAGGTCTGACTTTATGTTTTTCAGAATGACCAAAAATTCTATGGACAAAATCAATTATATTTGTATCTCGATATTTGGAGGAGTCTATTTTTATATTCCTTGCTTTCCACGAAGAAAAGTAAAGTCTAAAAATAGCAACATGAAGTTAATCACAAAAGGGTACTTTTCAAAAAGCTAATAAAATATTTCAATTGTATAGTATTTTTTAATCTTCCTGCTTAAACATCTTACCACATATGAAATATAAATTAAAAAGGCAAGCATACAATAAAATTACTATGCCTCAAAATGCTTTGATTAGATGTTAATCACAATCTGTGGATTTTTCCTCTTTGGGGGTTATTATTTTCAGAAATTTCACGCATTACTTCAGGATTCTAATATCGCATTTACTTGCACATAATCATTTCTCTTTCACCATACTCTATTTCTGCATTTGCAATAAAAGCATATACTAATACAGCCATCATATAAAAATATTCATTATATTCCACAATTCTCAATGTTCAAAAAGTGAAACTAGGTAATTAAAATGCAACTCATTTCCACCCACCTTTTATAGCCAACTTTGTTAATAAAGAATGATGTGAATTGTTAACTGAGGGGCACTAAGCACTCCAAGGACTAAATACAGGCACTGTGTTTCTTCCATCATACCTATATCTTAAATTCCTTCAGCTCCTATTTATCAGGGAAGGGCTGCCAGGTGAGCAGTCTGTCACTCTTGCCTAGACTAATAGATTCTCCAGTGGCTTTTGTTACAGCTCATGTCATACTATTAAAACTATGTGCCTTGAAAATGGCATAACATATGTAGCTGAATCTTGTCAAGTCTAGATAATCAGACTCTGTTTGGCTTCACAAGCAGATGCAGCTTAGAGAAGTAATATACATATGCAAATCACAGCAGTCCCCTTTCAGCACCACTGTTCCTACCTCTAATGACCCTCGCAGAAAGTCTGTTTGTTCAGCTCCCACTTCCAGGGCTACATCAACAGAAGCAAAGGGACGGCTGGCCATCTGCTGTCGTTCTCGAAGCAGTTGCTGGAGGGGGTTAAAAATCACTTGTTTTAAAACATGTTAAATTCAACAATGTCTAGTTCCATTTTGAACAAAATGGCATTCAAAATTGAGAAGTCATCTAATACACATACTCGTATCTAGATCATTAAAAATGAAAATTATTTTCTCCCCATGGCCTGGGTTATATTTCCATAGAGGCTTTAAATGTATGGTGCCTCCAAAGAACATTTCCCCTGACCTCCATCCCACAAGCCTAATGAAATGTACTCAAAAGCACTTTGAAAACTTCAGATGAGAGCTGCTACTTAAGTAAAAAGTGCTATTATGATGATGGCTATGCCAAGTTTTCCCACTCAGAGTAACTCATGCTTTTGTCTTAGCTGAAAGCAAGTGACAGTAAAAATGTTTAAGAAAAGATAATCAAAAGTTGTCAAAATGCATTAATAGAGATTAAACGAACATATCCCTGCCCAGACTATGCCTTGTAAGTCATCAAGATCCCCTGTCAATTGCAGGAATTGTTATTGTCAGTGTTTTCAACTTTATTCAAAGCCTCTGTTCATTATTTAAATGAGGAATGATTAGTAGGTTGCAAGACGTGTGCCAGGGCTTCTAAAACACTTCTGGATATTTGTTTCTTTCTATTTGTGTCTCTTCTGGGCTTTGCTCAAACTAAAACCAATAAACCAGGAAGTCCCAACCAAGTACCCAGCTAATTTACATTTCTGCCTCTCCTTGTAATTATAATATTCATTAAGTCATGATAACAAAAAATTAATGACCAGCACTAGATATTGCAAATCTTGCCCTTCTCATTCTACACAGCTAATACAATTATTATTAAATATTAAAAGTGGATGAGCAATGCAATTAAATACTCTTTCAAATGAGAAGAAAATCATATCATCGAAGAAAGGCAAAATCCTTGAACACAATGAATGGCTTCATTATTCACACAGATTTTTAAAGATTCACTGGAAGTAACTTCAGATATTAACAACTGGTCTTTGAATGTAAATGTATGTAGCACGGTGATGCATCATTCATAAACTTCCCTTTCAGATGACGAAGGAACAAAAGCCAACGCTTAATGGCAGTTTATTGTTTAACATTTTTATTTTAACGCTTGTGACACAGCAGTAACAGTGTGCATGTAATGAGCATCCAAAATATAATTTAAGGCCTTGCTTTTATTATTAAAGAGAGAACATCTACTTGCTAATACGGGACAGAAATAATACAACTATTACTCAGTAGTAGTTTAAATTCTTAAATTATATGTATTTTTAGGAGTAATGAAGACATACTAAAATATTCAGAGTAAAAAGTAAATGTGATTTAAACAACCGAATTATTCAATTTAATATAAACTCAGATTTGTACTATTAAAAATACAGCTGCTGGCAAACAGAATCTTGTTTGTGTCTCTCTCAATAGGAGTGGCCAATTGATCTGAATACCGTGTCTATGCAAAATGCAAACATAATGTTACTCCAAATACCAAGGGATGCTAAGTGTAGAAGACACAATGCTCTTTTTATCTGGTAAAAACATAAACACACACACATACAAATATACAAACTGCCTTTGCTACCGTAATATAAAAATTCCCTTGAGAAAACTGTAAATTCTAGTTTGGACCTTAACATGATTTTCTAACATCTGTATTAAAGTTTCTTCATTTGTACTAGTTTTCCTTAGCTTATAAATGGCATCTCATATAATTGATTTTTTTTTAAAAAAATGAACACTTTCTCTTTCCTCATCTTACCTTTTCCCTACACCTAAAAGTAAAATGTCTACAAAATATAATTAATGAATACTCAATACCACAAATTGTAATATAAGTCTATAAATATTCTACAGTCACCATATTTGACAAAGAATAGATTCCTCCGGAAAATAATGTATTATTGTGACCCCCATCACTCATAATAAAGAAAAATCAGTGATTGATACTTTTATTCATTTAAAAAAATGTACTATAGGATAGAAAGGCATTTTAAAAGATTCCAGTTTGTCTTCTGAGCTTTGAGTTTTCATCACTTTTTAAGAATTGAATGCTTATTACAGTACGCTTTGCAAAGAAGAAAAATGTTTTTCTTGTTCAGGACCATAACACTGTAGTTTGTAAAATAAGACACAGCGAAATAAAAATAATAAGAGCACAAGACAGTGCGCAGTAAAGGATACAAACAGGGAATTAGCCAAATGAATTCATTCCGGGTCACTTAGCAGAGGACTAGTTAGAGGACTTTGGCTGACATTCTAACTTTGGGAAACTAATGCAAATGTTCTGACTGGGAAACTCAGGGAGGGTAAGTAATTTTATCCTAAAACACTCTTGCTTTGATATGATGGCCCTAAAATAATAAAATGGAACAAAGTGAGATTCTCTTTGCTACTAAGTCCCTGGTTCTTAGCCATATCCTTAACAATTGTCCTTTCTCTTGCCAGTTAACATCTATATGCATTACTTCCTGAACTTTGCCCCTTCTATGTCAGAACAAAAGAGATATGAACGATATGCTTACAACTTAAATTCTGTCAAAATTTAGTGGAAATATTGACAGAAAAAATACGTAGACTCTGGAATTAGGACCTGTGTTTGAATACCAGTTTTTCCACTTTGTAGCTGTTTGACCTTAACCAAATTATTTAGACCTCTCAACGCCTCAAATATTCTCATTGCAAAGTTGGGCTATTAATAGTGCCTACACCTAGACCTCAGAGGACTTGTTTTGAATCCCAGCTTCCCCACCCATTACCTATTGTACCATCATCAAATTCTGTAGACTTTTCTAAGGCTTTTTTCCCCTCTCTATAAACGGGAATAGCAATAATATCAGAAGATTGGGACTAACAAGATAATGCACTTGCACTGCTCAACACAGAATCTAGCACATTGTGAGAACTCAGTAACGCTTCATTGGTACAATTATTATGTTAAATTTCAAGCACCAATTTTGTCTTTAAAGATGGCACGCTAATTACCACAGGCCCATTTTCTTCGGCACTAGTGACATATTTTGCTCTATTAGTCTCCCTTTTAACAAATGTTGCAGATTTATGAGACAGTTGGAAAATGTCATGACTGTGGTAAAATGAATTTAGATTTGGAACTGCTTTCTGCCATTTGTGACTAAGAATGATAAAAACTCAACCTAAAACTTACGGGGAAATATAGAGTACTTCCTTAAGAACTTTCAAAAATTAACTTATTTTGTGATTATGATTTTTATATAAAATGAAGTTTGACATTTTATATATAGATAAGAAGCCATCTAACAGATGATTTATTTTATAACTAGTCTGGAGTTGCCAACTTTTTAGGAGACAGAAAAGGCCAAAAGAACAAATTGATCATAATACAACAGATTATAATCATGTTGCCATAAACATTGTTGTGCAGAACATTTTAAAATTATGGATGTTCTTAGTGTCATGTTTATTATCTATAATAATTGTTTTATTATTCAAAATCTCTTACAAAACAAACCATGAAATTAAAAATAATATGAAAATCCATGCTTAAATTTGGCAACTGGGAATGGTCATTGATTCTATCAAATGAATATATGAAATGCTTCCATGCAATACTACTACTTCGAACATCGTATCATTCCCCAAAAGTTCATATTAATCACCTTTCCAACCACTGCGAAGGCTACAACTCTAATGGATTTCAGATAATAATCCTTGAAAACACACACACTAAAGAAAACAGTAACTACCTCTGTTTCCAGTTATCTTCCTATGTCTTTCCTCCTGTGTCCAGGTTCTATCTGTCCTCCCCCCATACCTCCAAATGTCCTTCTACTCCATCCAAGTTTGAAGCGATCATCTCACCTACTAATTATTTATGATATTAGAGTGGCACTATCTCTTTAAATCTTCATGCTTTTCTGAAATCTTTAAGGCAAAAACTATTTTATATTTGTTTTTTTATTCCCCACAGCACTTAGTTTGTAGTCAAGAGTATTTGATGAATAAACAATGAAGGACTGACTTAAAGTATAGAAATCTGTATCATCTGAATGTGACTGAAGGCAAGTTTTGATAAAACGTTTTAATTGTGAAAAAACCTTTAAAAATATATGTCCTCCGATATTCTAGAATTTATGTCTTATGCTCAAATCTAACTGGATATTCATTTTCTTAGAATGGGCAATTTTGTGGATGCAAGAAATCACTATCAGGTTTTTTATTTCTCTTCATCCACTTTATTGCAATACTGTAAATATTATGAGAAAACTGCCACAAAGTCATCATAAGCATTCATATTTTAATAGCAATTATTCCTAAGATTTTTGAAAGGTATAAAAGGAGCAATCAAAACGATTTAGTCATTATTCCTGAGCTTACATAATAAAATTTACAAGGAGTTTGAATTAGCGATTAAGCAACATTTCATGAGACTATTTCTATTATTAACACAAACACATTTAACATAGAGGAAAATAAGTAAAAAACCAACTTTGGGTTTTTGGTGCTAGGATGGTGTGAGGAAATAAAGAGAGGTGGCAACATCTCTTTGCATCAGTGAATTAGGAAAGCATGATATTCTATTATTTTATAACTAAATCTGCAAGGCACAAGCTTATTCAGTTTTTCTTCATTGTTTGAAAGCAAAGTGTCCTCAATTGTCAAATGGCCACAGCAGATTTTCAAGGCAGGTTGTTCAGGTGTGCAGGGTTGTTGTTTGAACAGTAACGTGTCAAAAACAAAACCCACCTTTCCTCTCATCAAGCCTGCTACCAGACAGAGGAAGAAAAGAGGAATAATGGAAAAATTTTCTAAATCTTCCAAAATATAAAGTACTATATTCCCTATAAATGCTAAGAGATTATATCAGCATAAAACCTACTCATGTCCACCAGAAGGCAGACAGCAGAAACAAGAAAACTACAATCCTGCAGCCTGTGGAACAAAAACCACATTCACAGAAAGACAGACAAGATGAAAAGGCAGGGGGCTATGTACCAGATGAAGGAACAAGATAAAATCCCAGAAAAACAACG